CCCTTTTTCCCTTCCTCTCTCTCTCTCTCTCTCTCTCTCTCTCTCTCTCTCTCTCTTTTATATATTTAGAACGCACAATAGCGTATTATTATTTATTATTTATTTATGCTAATCGAAGGAAAATGAAACATTTATTCGCTATTCATACGACACGCCGTTGAATAATCTCCACCAGAGTCTATCGAATCCATAATTAATTGGTCGCACGATGAGAGGGACAATAATGATAACGATGATGAAAAGAAAAAAAAAAAACGGGAAGAAGAAGAAGAAACGTCTCGGATGAAAATCGTCGTGTCTAATCGTGTGCCAACTCGATTGAATCGATTGATTTCCTCGCCGACGACACGAATAATCGATCAGGAAGTACGGGCTTTTACTTAACGGGAATTAAATCATGGAGTGAACCTCCGCTTCCTGCCCGCCAATCATTTTCATACCTCGAAGGCCGCCCGCCTCTCTCTCTCTCTCTCTCTCTCTCACCCTTCTCGCGTCCTTCCTTTCTTCCTTCCTGTCCTGGCATCGCCGAAGATGTACAAGTTCCAAGGAAACTTCCCTCGACACACGATACGAACGGATAATCGAGATCGATCCAACATCGTGGGAGAAAGGGAGAAGCCCTTTACTCCACCCGATTTATCCATTATTCGATCGATAATTCGCGCAACATTCGAGTATATCAATAGTTCGGAGCGGCGAATCTCGTTCGAACAGCTTCGAATCGCAAAAAGAAAGAAAATTCCCGTACACGTGCGCCACAGCAAGAAAGAAAATAATCAGAGGATATAATATAATAAAATGGAGAAATTTCGATTCGAGGATAGAAGGTTGGAAATCGAAGCACGTCGGGCAACAGATTTCTCAGAGAGAAGAAAAGGAAAGGAACGAACGGTCGGAGAAAAGCATTATCCTCGTGCCACACGATTTCCACCCTCTTCTTCTTCGTAAAAATCGCTCGATCCCCGGTGAAGAATGCGCTCCCGGGGCCTCTCTATCTCTCGTAATCGAAACACGAGTGGTTTCCCCGGGGGGAGGGTTGCATGCACGCGCTTTGACGCACACACAGAGAGAGGCCACCGAAAACCACCTAAGTGGCCGAGGCAATGGCACGGGAGCATTCTGGCGGGCACAGGATATCCGGAACGGGAGTTTCTATGGCGCGCGGCTCTTTTTTCCCTCCCCTCCCCCCATTCTCTCCTTCGTTCTAAATAAAAAGTGCCGATTCAACGCTTCGAAACGTTGAAAAACACGCGTGCACAGCGAGAGAAAAGAGGATACGCGCGTCTCGCCTCCGCGATCTCCTCGTCATTGTTGCCCACCCCCTCCGGTCATTCTCCCCCTCTTCTCTCTCTCTCTCTCCGTGTACCTATGCCGTGACATCGCGATTCTACGGGGAATCCGATCTGTATTTTTCTCCACTATGGGATGCCCCGTACTTTTCTTAAAGGAAAACCGATTCTTCCGCTCTTCAACCTGCTGCTCCTCTTTTCCTCTCGCGAATAAAACTTGCTCTCCTCTCCTACATATCGGGGGTCCTCCCTCCCCTCTTTCTTTTTCTCTCTCTGCAAGGACGAAGTTTTTCTCACGAGGAAGGGAAGGGATCTCTCGCGTTTTTTAATCCATTTCTATCCCTCCTCTGCATCGGAAAACGGGAGATCCTCCTCTTTTTGGGGGAGGACGAGTTCGACTTCGCGACGAAATCTCTCTCTCTCTCTCTCTCTCTCGGCGTTTCAATAATTAAATAATTCGCGCGCATCTTTTTTTATTCTACTATATGAAAGGGAGTGGATGATCGAGCCTGTTAGTCACTGGAGGGGGATGAAGGAAAACGGGGAAGAACGAAGAAGGAAGAAGACGAAGGAGGAGAAGAAAGTCACGTACCTTTTTGAAGGATCTCGAGGTGTTCCCACAGGATATCGCCCATGAAGGCCGGAGCGCGTGCCAAGAAGGATTCCTTGCCCATGGCACAAATCTGTTTCCCGGTCATGTTCTGCCAGGGTTGTATCGCTACACCCGCGAGGGAGAACTCGCCGATGGCCCAGTGCAGCCAGTGGGCGACAGCTGCTTCCGACCATTGCCTCGGATCTGAAATCAGTGATCAAACGTCTTCAATCTTAATCCCCAGCATTCTTCCCAAAGAATTTTTATTATTCTGAAAAATTGCGCCATATTGTGGATAGATCGGGCACGGGTGAAAATTGGACGGAACGCGTCTTCGAAATGGAAACTAGGAGACGCACAGAGACGCAGAGTTTCTCTCTGACGGGTATTAAATAATCGTTGAGTAACACGCCACACCCGTTTTATATTAATTTATCAAAGCCGATGCGTAATATATCGACTAATCGACGAGGAATTTCATCCATATTCATATGGAGAGAGAGAGAGAAAGAGAGAGAGGAGGAGAGAGAGAGGAAGAGAGAGAGAGGAATTTTTGAATTGTGAATTATTCCAATACGACGATTATACGATAGATGCTATGGAGAGATTCGGGTCAAAATCGATTCAATCCGGTATCGATAAATGATAAATTCGTTAAATTTCCTCGGGTAAAAAAGTAATTTTATTATCGCCGATTATTTTAAAATCCGGTGACTAATCACGTTTTTTTTTTTCCAACGCTTTCAAACAGGAAACGATCGATATCTATTCTAATGAAACGACCGGCGTTCTGTAACGTTCGCATCTTTCGTGATAATTTTTCCTCTTTTTCCCAATTATTATAATAAAATCGTTATCGTTCGTTTGTATACGATGGGATATCTCATTGCTCGCGAGTCTCGCTTAGTTTATTAAACGAAAAAAAATATGTATACATACTTTTAACGCGACGTTTTCGTTATTACATTGTCAACGAGAAAAACTGGAAATTTAAATTTTCGAAAAACGCCTTGTTCAACGTTTTGAACAATTTTGAATAATAAATCAATTGATTGCATATCCGTATCGATAATAAAAAACTTTCGAGAAACTTTTGAATTTTCTTTCTCTATTCTTCCGAAATCCGAATTCTTTAGATCGAGGTATAATAATAGGGAGTTGACGCGTGCGATTTGAACGAAGCGACGATGAAAAAAGAAAAAAAGAAAAATAGAGAGAGGGCACGAGAGAGGAAAGATCAGGAGACAAAGGCTTTTCGAAGACGGGAGAGAGAGATATCGCGGCGGGTTGACGACATGATCGGTGCTCGGGCCCGGCCATCTTTGGTAGAAGCAATACCGAGAAACATTGGAATGTCCCATTTGAGGTGCGCGCCCATATTTGCACGCGTGTCTTGCATTGTTTCGCGGTATCTTCCACGCGTAAAAGTACAGTTCGGCTCATAATGCAAACAGAAATTACGACCAACTCCCCTAACGCGAGGCCTTCTTCCTCTCTTTCTCTTCGCCTCGTGCGCCACAAGAATTCGTCGAAACGTGCGCAAACGAACCCACTACCTCCGCAATTACATTAATACTTTCGCTTTTTTCTTCTTTCTTCTTCTTCTTCTTTTTTCTTTTTGATTTCGCGAGCACGTTTCGATGTAAATATTTCTTTTTAAATTTCATTTCATTCAAGATATTCCTTGAGTCGACTCGACGAGAATTTCACTCTCGAATACGCACAATCGATCGTTATTTGATTCGACGATGAAATGGAATTTTCGAAAGTCTAGCATTCTTCTTCGTTTATTTATTTCTAATTTCTGCTATTAACAAGATGCTCTCACAATTACGAATATTTCCAAGTAACACAAGATGTAGTCAAAATATTTCCTCAATTTTTAATCTCGTAGCAATTTAAAATTCTCGTCTTATATACCATTGGCTAGTAATAATCTGAACATTCTATATATATATATATATTAAGATACGATCTGAAAATCACGTGTACCGATTAAGTAATCGCGTAGGAACAGAGAGGAAAATTGTATAAAACTTCTTTCAGCGTGTTTCGTAAAAAAAATTAGAAAGAAAAAACTGACAACAAAACGCTTTTACGCACGATTGACACGCGACATCGAACTTATATTGCTTAATTAAGCGATATAACTCGTATAACGGAGAGAATAAACGAAAAGTCTTCTTCCGTTTACTTGACTATATTACACCGGTATTTTTCGAAACAAGAATGCCAATTTTTTGCCTTTTCTCGTTTTTCGCGAATAATCTTCGAATACGTATTCCTCTCTCTCTCTCTCTCTCTCTCCGGGCGATGATAATGCACGAAGAAGAATAATCTAATGTAATACAGGACTTTTAACTCCCACCCGCTGTTTCACCTTATCTGCCGGCCGATTACGTCGTAGGAAACTAATTGCCTAGATTAGCCTATTGCGGTACGCTTGATTAAAAGCTGTGCCAGCGAATGAGAGGCAGCGAGATCCTCTGCGCCACGTCGCGATACCACACCACACCACGCTCCGCTCCCGTAATCGCTTCTACCCTCGCGCTCCAATATCTTGGCGACGCATTCACGCGTTCACGCGCCTATCACCTATCCTACAAGCGAAAATGAAAAATTATATTCCAACGAAAATTACGATATTCGCGGGAAGGACGAATCTTATCGATATTTAATGCGTCGAGAAGATATTTTGACAAGCTTGTTAAGCTTATTATTACTCCACGCGAAAGTTGTGTCAAAGCAATTAGGATATAACTCGTAGATGGATGAAAATTTTTGAAGGATTGTTTAATGGAGGATGAATATTAATATTTGCAATCGCACGTTGAGGAATCGAAAATTCGCGGTTAACAGAGAGCAAAAAAGGTGATTCTTAAAGTTTTCTTGGAACGGAGGACGAATATCAATATTCGTAATCGTTGAAGAATCGAAAATTTAGCTCTGATGATGTTTTATTTTTGTAGATTCGTTTATTACTTTTCCACGTGAAAATTATATCGGCGATATAATTCATGGATAGGAAAGAGAGAAAAAAAAAAGTTCTTAAAGTTTTCTTGGAACGGAGAACGAGTATCAATATTTTTTAATCGTTTGAGGAATCGAATAATTCGCGGATAACAGAGAGCAAAAAAGGTGATTCTTAATGTTTTCTTTAACGAATATCAATATTTGTTAATCGTGTGTCGAGGAGTCGAAAATATCTTGACGTCCATCCATCCACTTATATTGACGAAATTACGATATAATTCATAGGCGAGAAGAGAAAAGATGGTTCTTAAACTTTTCTTTAAAGGAGGACGAATATCAATATTTGTAATCGTACGTCGACCAATCGAAAATTTAGCGCTCGAATCGATGCCCTATTTTTTTCTTGTAGATTCACATTCCCCGCGTGAAAATTATATCGACGCAATTAGATGATTCTTGAAATTTTCTTCAACAGGAAACATTAATTCCTCTGAATGCACTGTTTTGGAATTTTACTAAAAAATTTAAGTTAATGGAATAATTAAAAATTCTAGCCAAGTAAGTACCTTCGATATCCAATAAACATACCTAACCTTCCAAAAAACGTTCCAAAATCTCATTCTCTCTTTCGAAAAAGCAGGTTTACACATTGGAAAGGCGTTTTAAAAGCGAAACAAACGGAGTAATCGAAAGGAAAGAAGGAGAGGAGGACGAGTGTCGCCACGAGGCGAGAGAGAGAGAGAGAGAGAGAATTGTGTTAACAGTGCTGACAAGGAATAAGTTCGGCAAACATCGGCGCGATCCTCAAATATCGGCGGCCCCCTTTGATCGTGCGGTGCGCCGTTAGACACTAGCGCGAGTCCACTCTTTGCTCTCTCTCACCTTTCCTCTATTTATGTATTATCGCCGATCCGTGTGCGCTTTTGCCACCATCCCTTTTCCACGAACAGGGCTGCCCTCCCCCACCTCCCCCCGTTCATTCATAAAAACGAACTTACACTCGCGAGTCACGTAACGAGCGGATCTCGATTTCGATACGTTTCTTTCGTTTCTTTCTCTTCTTCTTCTTCTTCTTCTTCTTCGACAACTTCCTTCCTTCGATTTATTACGCGTCGTACTTCGATTCCCATGGACCAGCACGGCTCGAGCCAGTCAAGGATAGAGAATATCGGATAGAGAAATTCTTGTTTTGAAATTCGCGATAATTGGACAGTCGTTGGCGTTTTATCGACGATACAATTATATTCGATAATTTGAGGAGTTGGAAAGGGAAACGTTCGAATAGATACTTGATATTTCTAGCCTGGAAACGAGAAATAACAATCCACGCTTCGAATCTTTGCGCGAGATTTTTCTACGAAAGGAATAATTCGCGATTGGAGAAGGAATGGGAAATATTCCAATAAATATTCCAATTCTAATCATTCAAACGAGAACGGGAAAAATAACGTAAGCGTTTAATGCTTCGAGTTTCCGTTTAAGATTCTTTATTATGGGGAGCGAGATATTTGCGATCATCGAACAGAGAGAGAGAGAGGGGAGGAATGGGATAACGCGAATTTTCTGAAAGGTGTCCGAAAAGCACAGAGGCGATCGTGCAGAGATACGGTGAAACAGAGATAATCAAAGCGCAGGTGGCACGCTCAAAGCTTTCTCGACGATAATCGAGAAATACCGACCGTGATTTCGCTCGGTTGGTTTAGGAAACCGTCTGCCAGACCCGTAGGCCAGTTTACCTACGATACCATGTACCTGCCCTCCCCAGTGATAAATTTCACCGGCCTCTCACAGGTGGACAGGTGGATGCCAATTCTCTCTCTCTCTCTCTCTCTTCTCTCTCGTTTTTCCCCTTCCTTTTTTTTTTTTTTCGTTTCATTTCTATGGATCTCACTGGCAGATCGACGAGATGCCAGATTGCGAGAGCATTACGACGACCAACGTTTCTAATTAGACGCCATCTGACGCCATTTTTTTCTATCATTACATCGCCTTATCTCCGATCGGTTTCTTTCTTTCCGCTCGATGTTTCGATTCTCTAAATGCGTATTAAGCGTAAAAGTTTATTTTATTCCAGATTTGTTTCCTTTCCTTCTTTTTTTTTTTAACTACGGTTACAACAAATCTCGAAAGGAGATAGAACGGAATAGCACAGAGTTGGAAGATAGGCAAGGATGTGATGACGAGAGCAATATTCTGACGCGTGTCTCGACTCGACGTTTCAATTCTTTAAATACGTATTACGCGTTATTTATTATTTTATTCCAGATTTGAGACATGCTTTCTTTCTTTCTTTTTTTTCTTTTTTTTTTTTTATTACGATTAACAACAAATTTGAAAAGGAGATAGATAGTTAGTCTCTATAGGACGACAGCACAGTGTTCGAAGATGACAAGAATCTGTGTCTCGACGCGGTGTCGGTACGCGACGAGCCGTGTCTCGATTCGACAAAAAGGGTACGCATCCTTGGCGGCGCTTGTTACTCGTATAAGAAAGGCAAATTCCGAATAAATCATATAAATCGTATGCGTCGGTGGGGCGCTCGTGACGTCTAGCAACGCGATCGCGAATGCGCGCCGTGTCTCGTTGCAGCAGGTGCCTCCCTCCTCTCCTCTCTCGTCCAGCCGCGCCGCTGTATCGAGAAGTGGATCGCCAGACCGCGTTCCCCAATTATCCTCCCCGATCGATCACAGCGATCAATTAACAAGAAAATAACGAAAACAATTCCCTCGTAATCGTTTCGCCACGAATTTATAACACTTTCCACAAAATATCCTTCGAATTACCGATTACCCCCTCCCTAAGTGATATAAAATCCAGGGATGGAGGTTGCGATCGTCGTCGAAAGCAAAATTTTATTAAAACGAAGAAAAAGAAAGGAGGAGAAAAGGGTTTGGTGGTTGTTGGTTAGGTTCACGGAGGAGGTCAGAGACTGTAGGTGATCTGGCCCCGGAGGGTACGAACCCGGGGCATGTAGGCCGGAAGCAACGTCACACCCGCGTGGCTCTGAATGCGCATACCGGATGTGTGGCATCGGCTCCCCATCAGAACCATCAACATCACATTCACAATTCTTGCACATCGCCGCCGCCTCGTCGCACATCGCATCACATCGCGCGTATATACACACTCGCGCGCACGCCGATGCACGCATCCAACTCCCCCTCCCCACCGGTTTCGAAAGGGCCACCGATTTTTCGACAAATTTCACCCGCCCTCGCTCGACCGTGACCGTGATTGTGCAACAACGAAACGAGAGCCTGGCTTTTTTGCCTTTTCGTTCTTCCTTTTCTTTTCTTTTCCCTTTTCTTCGCTCGATCGGGCTCAACTTCGATGGGCTCTATGATGGATTCGAGTGCTTTTTTCCCTTTTTTTTTTTTTTGGAGAACAAGTGGATTTTGAGAAGTTATCGATTTGTCGCGTAATAATAATCGCAGAGATAAAATTGTTGCGAGAAATTATATACGGATCGATTGTAAATGTTATAGCTTTTGGCGTTGTTCTCGTAGATTGTTTTTTTTTTAATTAGTTATTTCTTCAACGGGTTACGGGATGATTTTGGAATTTCGAGACTGATCGTCGAGTATTATAGTTGTATAGCGCGTATTTCGAAGGATGAAGCGAGAAAAGGAATGCGCAAGATAGAGATATACGGTGTTACGTCAATCAAAACCTTGGCTGATTATGCGGGCAAGGATAGTATCGGTGCGAAAACAAGATCAATAATGTTTCGATTAAGTAATTGCATTGAATGGCGATTAACGTTCGATTTATACCGATTCATTTGTCATTAAGTGACAATTTAAGAAGATTAAAATCGATAAAATCTCTGTTTTACTTCAATATCGATCTATAAAAAGAAAAATCATTGAAATAAAAAAAGAAGAGGAAAGAGAAGAAATTACTCATGCATGAATGAACCAAGTAATCGAACCGATATACGTAGAAAAGGAAATACGTTTGTTTCAGATGAAACCGTCAAAGCTCGCGAATCAGGATCGCGGCAATGAGGCGATAATTAGAAATCGTCGAGAAACCTGTACGCCATGAAACGTGCATGAAGAACAAAAAAAAGGAGGCAAAAAAAAGGAAAGAAAAAAAGAAAGAATGTTTTCCGCGAGATTGGGATGTTGTAACGTGTATCCTACAGAGAAGAAAAAGAAGAAGAAGAAGAAGAAGAAGGAAAAAAGACGGCACTCACCTTTGGTTATATTGAGGCGGACTCGTTCCTTCTCCCAGGAGGCGAAAGAGGCCTCCAGGGCCTCGGTCATCTTCTTGTTGGTCCCAGGTGTTAACGGCGGCACTTGTGCCGGTATATCTGAAACGTGACGATACATCCTGTCATTGTTATATCGCTCAATTACTCAATTGATTTATTCGAAAATTTTCACGTTTAAAAAATTCGAAAAATTACAACCTCTCGTCTATCAACCCACCCCTCTAAATCCCTCTTCCTCTAAAAAGAAACATCCGCTCAAAATTATTAATCCTTCCCTCTCAAAAACTATCTCTATAACCACCAAATTCGAAACTCCCCTCCTCTCGACCCTCCTGAGCAGATTCGAGGAAGCTAGCAGGCAACATTCTCTATCAAAATCGTCGATAGGTGGTCAACTTTCCTCGAGGAGCGAGCGAGAAGGAGAGAGGCAGACTTGGAAGAATCGGTGGATGTGTGAGAAGCCAGGTTAATGGTACTTCTCACAAAGCGGCGTGCACGCGCGCGCGTCATCGTGCGGAGAGGGAGAGAGAGAGAGGCGCGTGTACACGAGGAGGAGGAGGAGGAGGAGGAGGAGCGCGTCAGGTGTCGCGGCGGCGGCAGGAGCAGCGAAAGCGAGCAGAGGCGAGGGGGGCATGCACACCATCCTAGATAGCATCGTCGTAAAGAGGGGTGCAACTGGCGGCGGGCAGGTGCATCGTCGTTGTAGGTACGCTTGCTCTATGCCGCGCACAACTCGGCGTACGCCTTATGGCGCGATGCTCCTCTTCTTCTTCTTCTTCCTCTTCTCTCCTCTGCGACGTGCATTATTCTTTGTGCTCTCGATGCACAGGGTTTTTGAAATTCGTCGATTTCTGACGAGATTCTCCTTTGGCGCGATACACCCCTCCCACTCTTCTCCATTATTCTTTGTCCTGGAATATAATAGGCTTTTGGAATTCGTCGAATGGGTTTTGCTCTTTTTCGTTGCTTCCAATTCCAATTAACGTTTTCTTTTTTGGGGGGGGGGAGAGGGAGGGGGAGAAGAAGAAATTCTTCTTTGCGCTATTCTTTGTCCCGAGTAGATAGGTAGATTTTTGGATTTTGACGAGTTTCTTCTTTCTGCTGTTTCAATTAGCGTTTTTTTGGAAGTTGAAGAAATTTTTGCTCTATCATACCGAGCATGATACACGATAACTTGGATTCGATTCTTCTCTTTCCCCCTTTCGATGTATTCTATTCTTTGTCCAGAACGTAGCGGGTTTTTGGAATTCATGGATTGGATTTTGATGAGATTCGATGCTTTTCCTTTCTACTATTCTTTGTCCTGGGATAGTAGGGTTTTTGGAATTCGTGGAATGGATTTTGAACGAAGGATTCCTCCAATCAGCGGAACAAGCTTGAACAAGTTGTTTCGCGAGGAGGGAGCGTAGATCGGGATCGATAATTGCACCCTGATCTGCTTAAACGTGCAAGTCTTTATCAACCTGTTTCTTTTCTTTTTTTTTTTAACGATGGATCAGATATTTTTGGAAGTATTGAAACGAATCGATGAAACCCCCCTCCCCTCGTTTTTGCACGAACCGTTCGAAAATGATAGAAACTCGTTGATCGTTCGAAATTCGAGAAACGTTCGTTTTGAAAAATTTTATTTTCCGCGAGTGTGACGGGTCGGGATATACGACGAGCAATTAGTAGAACGTTGGTTAAGATAAATCGAGTAGTATGCATAATTTTCCCTTTTGTTACACAGACTCATTTCAGGGTGAAAAGATCAAGATCCTAGATTAGAGCGTGACTTCATAGCTATTAACAGCATATAATAGGTTTGAAGAAACACTACTCGATTCCGTTTAAACTATAACGATCCCGTTAAATCTTCCATTGCAACGATCATATATATATATATACGTGTATACTCAACACGGGAAGCGTATCTTTTTATCTGGAGAAAGCAAAAGACCTGTGGTCGCGTGTGTTACCATAGTAGGCCACTGCTTATGTTTTCATACCCGCCAACCACTGTATCTTATCGAAGGCTCGCTGCCTTACGTTTCTTCCGTTTTCGATAAACGCAAATTATATTCTCGCCCGGTCAACAGCCAAAAGCCTCCGCTCCGCTCCTCTTCTCGATTATCTTCTTAAAAAAACCTTCATTATCGTCCAATTTAATTTGAACGTGAAATAAATTCGTCGATTTATTCACATCCGACGCGAATATAGGAAGAGAGAAGAAGCGGGTGGTCGCTGTTGAGGATGACGCGTTAAAAATCGCGGGGACATCTGGATTTGCACGGGTATAAGCTCCAACGGCGCACCGCCGAAACTCCATTAAGTATGTATGGCGTGCAGCCACGGTAAGCCTCCCATAAGCACCTTTGTCTCTACGCGTGTGTGCGCTCGCACCAACACGTGCGCGCCGCGCAAATTTGCATACCACAGGTACGCGGTAACGAACGTACAAAGTAATCGTCGTCGAGTTGGACAGAGAACACGCTCGTTTCCATCCTCTCCCCTTAAATGGTTCCCGCGAATTTGACACGCGATAGAAATAATAATTTCAATCGTTCCTCCGTCTCGAATAATCGATATTCCGTGGAAATTGTGTCGATAAAAATGCGAAGGGAAGCGTTGAATTTGGAAAGATTATCGAAGTCGATCTATTTATCTCGCGCTATTGATTTCTTTCTCGTTTTTAACCATTCTTCTCGAATCGATGCTAAAATTGTACGTATTTCTCTCTCTCTTTTTTCCTTTCCTCGCACGGATTAGAAATATATCCCGATTCGAATCGTGAATCGAAAAAAATTACTTGTTCTCGGCCCGAGCATCTACAATGTTGATAACGTTCTGAAACGGAACGTGACTGGCGTTTCAAGGATAACATCGTTCTCTCTTTCGACTGCATAATTAATCACAAACCTATATATATATATATATATTTTTTTTTTCTTCTCCTTCTAATTATTATTTAATTTATATAATTACAATCTATCCCACAAAGTTTCCTTCCTTCATCCTCGAGATCGAACTTCGAACCGCCAATAGTCTTTCTTCCTCTCGTCATCGATCCAACGACATTCCTTGCAATTCTCGATTCTTTCAACAATCGTTCCGATATAAATATCCGAGCGATCGAAAAATTACGATTCGTAACACGAATCCAGCTTCGCTCAACTTCGCTCGAAACGAAAACGCCGAAGAAAACCCGTGAAAACAATCCTCTCCCTCCTCGTGTATAATTCAATCGACGAGTTTTCCTCGACGAGTTGCTCGAAAAAAAATGCCGCTTCTATTTCGATCCCTTCGAGCCCATTGTGTTCTTTCCGCGAAACCGCGCGCAACCCGTGGCACGGGTGCAAAGTGTATCAGCCGCGACACGGAATTATTCATCGCGACTACTTTGACGAGTTGCGCGTGGTGGAACGTGTAATCGAAGGAGGAGACGAAGAAGAAGAAGAAGAAGAATCGTACGCAAGGATCGAAGCCGGCGGCGGAGGAGTCGAGTTGAAAACCCACGTGCCACGGCGCAACGCTTGCCCCGTGCGCGGAATAACAATCGGGCCACATTTGCAGCAACGACGCCTGTGGCTGCCTCGTTGCGAATGCCGCGTATCATCGCCCAGCAAATCCATCCATCTCCTGTTTCCAGAGCAAAAGCTTCCTATTTCGAGGAATTTTCTCGATCCATCCGAAAATTCGTTTGAGAGAAGGAAACTTTCGAATCATCACCGTTTTTTGAAATTTCCTTTATACAATTTCCTGTATACAAACTTCAATATTCACAACTTTCTCTATTGTTCACTTTATCCGAATCCAATTAGCTAAAATCTCTTTCTATATTAAGATACAAATGTTATGGCAGGAATAGGTATACATGAAATGTCGGTAGATTTGGTAGATTTCTACGATCGGTTCCCTCTCCTTTCGTGCCTCGATGCAAGTCGATGTAAGTAAGATTCAATTCAATAGTATTTCGCGACTCTCTCGAACAGCCAAGAGATGTGAAAGAAGAAAGAAAAGAAGAAGAGAGCGCAAATCGATCTAAACCGATCCATCATCGTGGTTGGAAACGTAGGTAGGAATCGTAATCGGCGCTTTCTCACGCAATATCTTCGCAACCCCGCGTATGGAAGAGAGCCGCGGGCCGTAATTACGCTACACACAAGTGGAACATGTGGACATTTCCTTTCGTGCGACTAATCGTGTCTGATGTAATGAAACAGGAGGAGGGGAGGGCGAGCAGGATCGGCATCTGCGATCTTCTGCTCCATCGCGATTATCGATCGCTCCGACGACACTCGAATACCACCGTTCCCGATTGAAAGCGCTTCGACAACCACGATTAATCTTCGAATAATCGTTATCGCCGCCTCTCGCATATCGCGTTACCTAGATCTTCGTAAATAAAATTTTAAAAGAAGATTCACGAGCATTTGGTGTCGCGATCGTGGATGCATCGATCATGAGAGAAAAAAGAAGAAAGAAGAAAAATTATAAATTCGAGTTCAAACTGTCTATCCAAATCGACGCTTCTTCGTAACGAGAACGCGCTACTTCGCGTCTAACCTCGAAGGGGAAGCTACTTTTATTCACCTGTTTAATCGCCTTAAGTATCTCCAGACAACGTTTTATTCGATCAACGAACGATATGTAAACGGAGAGAATCTTGTTGCTCGCGCGGCAAGAAGACGCGATAATCGCGAAATCGAGCAAGAACTCGAACGTGCATTTTTTCCAATATTTTGTGAAGAAATATCGTATCCATTTCGTTGCATCGAAAATTAATAATTGGCAAGGATCGAGGAGATAATAATTTTTTTCTTTATTCCTCTCCTCTCTCTCTCTCTCTCCTTCGTCCCTGCGTTCCCTTTTGAAATAAAATTCGATATCGAGACCGATATCGAAGCCGAGTTGGTTTCGTCCGCGCATTGGTTAATCGAATGGAAATGCAAATGGCTAATGACCCGCGACCCAGCTGACACTTGACCCGTTCAACATAAATTTGCATAGCTCGTTATATTATTTGCGGCCAAAAGCCGGTACGTTCGCTTATCGATGACAACACGTGAAATATTTCTCTTTCTCTTCTTACGATAATCTTAATCGGTTTGGAAGGGACG